AATACATTATAGAAATCACCAAACTGCATTACAAGGCAAGCACTTACTTGGAATCCTGAAGGGAAGTGGAAAAGAGGAAGGTCAGAGAACACACTGTGATGAGAATCGGAAACAGACATAAAAAGGACGAATAACAACTAGAGAGAATTTGAAAGGATTATCCAAGTCAGGGTTGAATGGTGAGTGATGGTGGGCGGCCTATGCTCCTTCACGAGGGGTAACAGGCCTGGGTAGGTAGGTAAGTGTATTCAGTACATTGTTTTAATTTTTCATATATCATTTAATTGAGAAGAAAAGTGATTAACTTATAAAATCAACATTTAAGACTGTTGATCACCTGATCGTTTCTTTATTTCCTATTTCGATTCAATGTGGTACATGATTAGAAGACTTCTATAGAATAGCACGTATGTATTCTACATTCATTAGCCATGTATTAATGTCTTAATACTCTTGCAATTCAATGTGATATAAACGTGTACTGTAGGATAAATGTCAGTCAGTCGGTCAGTCAGTCATTTGAAACGTAGAATCTGGAACATGTATGGGTCAGTTCGTTTCCACACTAATCATTCTCTTTTCTTTGATTTTCTTAATCTTCTTGCTTCCAGACTTTTGACTTTCGACTGGTTATGCATACTACTTATATCTCTCGACATCAGTAGTACACATCACGACAGTATCAGTAGTCATTGAAATGACAATATGATAACAGAAGAAACAATGAGTTTATTCAGTAAAAATAGTATAAGATAATTATGAAACTGAAGATCTAGTTGAAGATAATTAATGAATACATCTATGGTAAGAGTATGAATTTTTTCAGGTTAGGGTTTTTTAGCGAGTTACTTTTCTACGGGATGGGGTCGCTAACACCATGCCCAACCCTCCTCCTTTATCCGGGCTTGGGACCGGCAGTAGCCCCCGGAGGGACTTCAGGTGGATCATTGTGGAACAGTCAATTGAATGGAATTCATCACTCTACATCAACTTCATTGACTACGAAAAAGCATTTGACAGCGTGGACAGAACAACACTATGGAAGCTCCATCGACACTACGGCGTACCTGAGAAGACAGTCAGTATCATATAAAATTCCTATGATGGATTAGACTGCAAAATCGTGCATGGAGGACAGTTGACAAACTCGTTCGAAGTAAAGACCGGTGTCAGGCAAGGTTGTTTACTCTCACCCTTTCTCTTAATCCTGGTGATCGACAGGATCATGGAAACGTCAACATCTGAAGGGAAGCACGGGATACAGCGGACATCTAGGATGCAGCTGGACGATCTAGACTTCGCAGATGATCTGGCTCTTCTATCGCACACGCAACAACAAATGCAGGAGAAGACGACCAATGTGGCAGCAGTAGGTCTCAATAGACACAAAGGAAAACGCAAGATTCTCCGATACAATACAGGATGCACCAACCCAATCACAATTGACGGAGAGGATTTGGAAGATGTAAAAATCTTTACATATCTGGGCAGCATCATTGATAAACACGGTGAATCTGATGCAGATGTGAAGGCGCGGATCAGCAAAGCAAGAGCAGCATATTTACAATTGAGGAACATCTGGAACTCAAAGCAACTGTCAACCAACACCAAGGTTAGGATTTTCAATACGAATATCAAGACAGTTCTACTGAATGGGGCGAAAACCTGGAGAACTACGAAAGCCATCATCCAGAAGATACGGGTGTTTATTAACATTTGTCTACGCAAAATAATTCGGATCTGTTGATCAGACACTATTAGCAACAACGTACTGTGGGAAAGAACAAACCAGATTCGATTGGAGGAATAAATCAGAAGAAGCGCTGGAAGTGGATGGGACACAGATTGAGGAAAGCACCCAACTGTGTCACAAGACAAGCCCTCACATAGACTCCTTGATGCCAAAAGATAACAGGAAGACCAAAGAACACATTACGCTGAGAAATGGAGATTGACATGAGGAGAATGAACAATAATTGGATAGAAGTAGAAAGGAAGGTGCAGGATAGAATAGGTTTGAGAATGCTGGTCAGCGGCCTATGCTCCATTAGGAGTAACAGATGCAATTAAGTAAGTAATTAAGAGTATGAATACTCAATAGTATTTATTGTTTATCCTAGAATCCAAGTAATTTGATGCATAACGGCGAGATTATAATTTATGGACTAGCCAATCATGGTATAAGATGATAAGTCTTGGATTATGGCACAAAATTCAAACTTCCATTTGTCTAAATAGCCTCATGGAACTTTAGCCAATGTCAGTTCATGATGAAAATCCTAAACTGAATTCCTAACCTTAACCATCAATTGTACATTATAGAATCCTTATTCTTCACACAGGTTTATAACCATCATTTAGCCATACTAATTAGGTCAACACTCAGAAGGTCACATTGGCATCGTTCCAGGATCGTCCATAAATTAAAGTCTCACTGTAGTTTGTTATGTTTCAAAAGAGAAATGATAATTTTTTACGCAATATGAATGTTATCACTTTTTAAGTACTAACTATTAACGGTTCATATTGTTCTGTTGTTTAAGTATAGGAGTGAATATTGATTACATAGTTATGCTTGTTACATCTCGTAGAGATTAGGACATCAACAAGGAATCACCTACCTACTTACTCTATTCTGGTTAGCGTATACTGATAATTCTGATTAAGGTTTATTGATATCTGTATATGTTGACAAAACTATCACTCAGGCGTTATTTTTTAACCACTGAAGTCATATTCCGTGGTTTATACTTTCAAAGTCAATTAATTCAATGATACAGTACGATACCATCTCATTCTATCGGTGGGTATCTCTTTCATTCCCGATTAGTGTGAGACATTCCTTCGGTGTTCTCACATTTTTATTGATTCCTCTTTTGATTTCTTGATAAAAATGAGCTTCAGCTCGAATTCGTAATTATTTTATTATGTGGATTCATGAGTTCATTAAAGTTAAATCAACCATCGAAAACCTAGAAGCACTAGACAGCCGTTCCACCCCAGTATGTGACTCACCAGAAGTGAGCAACCACAATCTAACACCGAACGGACTCGAACACATGACCTTCGGACTCGTGCGCGAACGTTTAACTCCTAGATCACTGAGTCAGCATCCAGTGATGTTAATGGCTAACTTCGATCGATCCATGAATGACTGCACAACTATTCATCCCATTGTCTGAAATAGATACCTGTCTCTAACCGACAACGATTGAACTCCACTGGTCACAGCTTATCACTACAACTCGAAGAAATCATCTTGGAGGTAGTCATCAGTGATCACATGATGATTATGATCAGAGTGAGGTTTATGTAGATTGTTTTAATTTTAATAGTTGAATTCATGAGTCGATGTGAGCTTGACCACCATCGAAAACTTGGAAGCAGTGGACGGCCTTTTCGTCCTAGTATGGGACTCCTATTCAAATTATCAAGATCTCCACGAACCCCATTCTAATTACAATTGTTTATTATCATAAAAAACATATGAACTGTTGTAAGATCATGAAAACAAAGGGTTAACTGAAGGAAAATATTTCATTGTATGAGATTATACCAAATAATTCGAGCTTATGAATCGTTGTATACTGATTAAACGACTGAACGGAACCCTGGTTGCTTCCATACACAGAATTAATCGGTTCAATTTGATTTACAGTAACAAGTGCACACATGAAACTACTTACTTACGCCTGTTACTCATCATGAATGAGCATAGGCTGCACACCAGCATTCTCCATTCAAGCATGTCCTAGGAAGTCCTTTCCAGTTGTTATCCATCGTTTTCATGTCTGCTTTCAATTATACACCCAGATTATTCTTTGGCCTTCCTCTTTTCTGTTCCCCTTCAACATTCCATCATATATGTTCTATCCACTTCCAACATCGTTTCCTTAATTTCCTCATTATCTGGAAGTTGGTTTGCTCTCTCCCACAACACATGAAACTAACTTCATCAATATTAAAAAGTTTAGAATTAAATACGAAATCCTTTCATTTTATAGATTATGTACTCTACTTATTCACTTTCTATCAATTTACCAGACTTTTTAAATTCCCGCCTGTATAACATTGAAGTTGTAATCTCATAGTGTACTCATCCTTTATTTCGAGAATTTTAATACAGTAACCATGAACTTAAAACCATAGTGACAGTTCAGTATTTCCCTGAATTTCACTGTCAATAATAATGTGTTCAGTTTCTAAGGTTTGTTGAAGTTATTTAAAGATGATAAGTATATTACACTCTCTATTCAACTACGCATACGCTTTAATTCAGTAAAGAAAATAAGCATACAATTTATATGAAATTCAGCACAAGGTAATCGCTTTAGCTGGACAACCATTGAAGGGCTAGATATCTTATTCTTATTAGTATGAGATTTCTTAGAAGTGCACATGCAGCGAGAAGTTATTGACTACCTACAACCAATTCAACCAATATCTCCATAATCACTTAACATCTACTTAATTTTTAACAAATAGTCAAACTACTTACAAGTAGTTAAAAGGTTTTACAAAAATATTGTAATCTGAAGGTTGTTGAATTGAAACAAACGATTACACTCTTGTGTTTATTACAAAACTAACTAACAATACTGTACATTTACATCCAGTAATTCCAAAACTAGTCTGTAGGATAGTGATTTTGAACAGTAATCTAGAAATAGACTCATTTATCTAGGTCTTAGGTTCAAATCCCATGGGACAGGATCATGGATACGAACTATTGATGAATTCCATCCACAATAGGACAAAACAACCGTTCAATACTTCCAAGTTTTCCATGATGATCTAGCTTGTGATTCTCAATAAAACACTGGAGTTATTTTTCAATGACAAATGTATTTAATAGTTCATATAAAAACTCAATTCAATAATTGTACAGATAAACATTCATATTTTATCTGTTCCATTGAGTAAATATAACAATAAATGAAAACAAACAATTAAAACATAATAGAATTTTGTTTCGAAAAAAAAGGAAATCTCAAAAATAAATGGTTCTATGGGAAACACACACACACACACAGATACATACATACATACATACATACATACATGCAGGCATGCATAGATACATAGAATCAGGTAATTCAGTGAAGTGATAGAGAAAATAGTAACTCGATAAATGTTGACCACTGGTTTTCTAACGTCTACAACAGCATAAAATATCAATTACACAACTAAAGAGACCGTAACAACATGATAAGATGGAGATTATAATGAGTGCCAAGATAGAAACACATATTGTAACAGCAAGTGGCCACCAACTGTAATGAAAATAAAAAAAATAATAATAATGAGATAAGTGAAAAGTTAAAATAGAACACAGATTGTTTAGTTTATTGATCTGATTACTTACTTACTTACTTACTTACTTACTTACTTACTTACACCTGTTACTCCTCGTGGAGGAGCATAGGCCTAAAACCACCAATCTTCATCCAACCCTGTCCTGGGCACGACCTTTCAATTTTTTCCACTTACTGTTGATCCTTTGCATCTCTGCTTCCTCTTCTCGACGTAATGTGTTCTTTGACCTTCCTCTTTTCTGCTTCCATTCACGATTTTAAGTTAATGCTTGTCTCGTTATGCAGTTTGGTGATTTTCGTATTATATGTCCTATCCAATTCCAAAGTCTTTTCCTAATTTCCTCTTGCAGATAGAAGTTGGTTTGTTCTCTTCCACAGTAGGCTATTGCTGATGGTATCCGGCCAATGGATGTTGAGTATCTTGCGAAAACAACTATTTATAAATACTTGTACCTTTTTGATAGCAGTTGTAGTAGTTCTTCAAAATTCAGATCCGTATAGTAGAACTGTTTTAACGTTCATACTGTAGCTCTTCTCGAGTTACTGCCGGTCCCAAGCCCAGATAAAGGAGGAGGGTAGGGCATGGGGTTAGCGACCTCATTCCGTACAAAAATTACTCGCTAAATAAACGCTAGCCAGAACAAAGATTACGTGATTAAATACAATGGGAGTTGTAAATGTTTGAAATGCCAACTATCGATCGCTTAACACGAAATCTGGAGATTAAAGATTCGAATTTATGTTTGAACATGGATGGATACAAGTGAGAATTCCTTGACTCATGAGGAACATTAATCCAGGAATTATTCACTTATGCCAATCAATGACCAATTTAATACTCTTTAATATTTGAAGTCTTTGCATCAGTGAATTATCTTAGTTAAATAGGAAACATTAAACAATTGTCTCATTTTAATATAAAAATTTCTTAGCAGTACTGATGCAGAACTGTACACTTTAGGGATGAAACTCAAAACATTCAAGTATCTCTGAGAGCGCTCAACCCTGATTTGGATATCTAATGTTTAACATTTTCAACGTCTATCAATTTGTGATATTATTGGTATAACTTGCGGCCGCTGATTAATGTGCAGTGACTGATCGATCTGATCAATAACGCGTAAAACACGTGCGAGCACTCCCGAGTCCTTATCGGTCCAGCTGCCTACTTAGCCCAGCCAGTTAAGTCCAGCACACCAATCTCAGCCTCTGCAATATGAATCATTTATTCCAAACATACTGGGTTTATACACCAACCAGGCAGACGACACCGTACCAATAAAAGAGGAAACAACATTTGTACAAGAATCAGCCAAATGTGGCTATGAATGAGGGAGGTAGTAATTACTAGACAGGGCATAATTCAAGAATGGTAAATCGTAGAATAATAATTCATAGGTCAAAATAAAGCTTATAATAAGAGGAATATGAATGTGGACAGTTTAGTTACATAACAACTATACGATAAAAATATACTCATAGTATTGATCCATAAATGGATCCCAAAAGTTACTATTCATTATTCTTGTCGAGATATAACAATTATCAAGATATTTTTTTCATCTCATTACTGACTAAATACCCTAAAAACTCATTTTGTTGAAGTCAGCAATGTAATGTCACTATGAAACTTCGTATTCAACAATCGCCTTCAATACTTTATGATATGTGATATTCAAAGTGTTATATCCCGATAAGGATAATGAATGATAACTGTCGGAACCTATTTATGGACTAATACTATCCACATATTTTTTATTGTATAATTATTAAGTAACTAAACTATGCATATTCATATTCCTTTTATTATAAGCTTTATTTTGACCTATGAATTATTATTATACGATTTACCATTCTTGAATTATGCCCTGTCTATCAATTAGTACCTCCCTCATTCACAGCCACATTTGGCTAAATCTTGTGCAAATGTTGTTTCCTCTTTTACTGGTACGATGTGGTCTGTATAGTTGGTATATAAACCCAGTTTGTTTGAATAAAAAGATTCATATTGCAGAGGCTGAGATTGGTGTTCTGGACCTAACAGGCAGGCAGGGCTAGGTGGGAAGAAGGATTGATAAAGATTCTACACTGTTGGTACGGGTTGTCTACATCATTGATCCGATCGATAAATCATTGTTTTCTAATTGAAGGTATCATTACGTTATAACTCAATAGGACATAGGGCACAAATTATAACACAAAGTTTTATTTTTATGTCATCTAACAATATTTTTTCGGATATACTCTATTACGGTTTAACTCAGATGGTAATTATATCTGGCTACTAGTCTGTTTCAGCGTTTATATTCACAAAGGGACTGCGAAAACAATTGATCATGTTGAACTTAACAGGAGGCGAGTTACTATGTACGTAATTGTGACATTTTACATTAGTCATTGTAATAAAAAGTGATTCGTAGTGAGATTAGGTGGTGGTTGGAGGTAGTCGACAGGAAACCCTGGATTCGGGTTTCGTGCTACTTGGCACTCGTCAGTAAGGCGTACCTATAATGTTGAGGGAACTGGTGCTCCCTGGAGAATCCGATCCCGTGTCACCCAGCTTCACAGTCAGAGAAGCTACCACTGAGCTATCCAGGCCGCTACTGACCTGTAGGACTGAGATGTAATCACAATTGATTGATCACTGAGTGGTGATCAATGTCATGTGTGTCAAGTCCTTATTTAGTGTGGATCGAATGCTGTCGACCATGTTGTAATGATCACCACCCAGTGATCAGTCAACTGTGACTGATTAGTAGTCTTTGCCAAGTTCAGTCAACTACTAATGAGAACTCATGAAATCAAACAGATTCATATTATTCTGGTTCAATTATTAAACAGTCGTCTTTTTTCTAGTGTAGAATTCCCGAATATTGACTACTAACCATCATATAGTCGGTTGAATACTAAACTTTCATAACTTGATATCAACATAATACCTTCATATCTATATGAAGCTATCATCGCATAGATTATTGTCTTACTGTTGAGTTGGTTGTTTTCACGAATCTCGATACTGATAGTTTGCATCCAATCTATTATTGGGTAAATTACTAAACTCGGCTACTAACCAGATCTCAGTAGTATGTTCAAGGAAAGAGTATAAATGCATTTTCATGATAACAATAAGTCAGGTTCATATTTTCAGGAAAGGGGTTTTGTGGATATTGTAGTAATCTTTAATGGTTGAATTCATGAGTTGACCACCATGGAAAACCTGGAAGCACTGGACGACCGTTTCATCCCAGTATGGAATTGTTAGATGCCATCTCAGTAATCTAGAGGTTAAGCGTTCCGGAGTGAGATCGAAGGTTCTGGATTCGAGTCCTCTTGACGTGGGATCGTGAATACACACTGCTGAAGAAATTATACTAGGAAAAAACGGCCGTCCAGTGTTTCAAAGTTTTCAATGGTGGTCAAAATTACATCGGCTCGTCAATTCAACTATTAAAATTAAAACAATCTCCATAAACCTTATTCTGATCATAATCATCATGTGCTCACTGATGACTGACTCCAAGATGATTTCTTCGAGTTGTAGTGAGAAGCTGTGACCAGTGGACTCCAATCGGTATCGGTTAGATTCAGGTATCTGCCTCAGACAATGGAATGAATGGTTGTGCAGTCATTCATGGATCGATTGAAGTTAGACATTAACATCACTGGATTCTGACTCAGTGATCTAGGAGTTAAACGTTCGCGCACGAGTCCGAAGGTCATGTGTTCGAGTTCGTTCGGTGTTAGATTGTGGTGAGTCACATACTGGGGTGGAACGGCTGTCTAGTGCTTCTAGGTTTTCCATGTTTGGTCTAACTTTAATGAACTTATGAACTTAACTATTTGGTTCATATTTGTTCACTTTTTAAATGAATCTAAACAGACACACACCTACACACACAAAAATTATGTTTCAACAAATAAATACTTTACCGGAATTGTTTACAACATGCCGGTTTATCAGAAGGATCTTTACAGCAATATGTTGAATATAGGAATGTATTGCCAACATCACAGGATCCACCATCTAAATATATAATGAACATATTGAATAGATATTCATTAGTGATTATTTTAATATAACGATTATTACTTGTGTCAGTTATTTAAATCTTCCTATTCACTTTATGGATGTAACGGTAAAAAATATTCCCAAAATCAATAGCTCTGTAAGTCTTCAATATTGAATGCTGACCATATTAGTTTCAATGGACTCACCTAGCTGAAGGCGCTCTGTCATGAATCTGCACTAGATCAGGAGTGGGAACGCCATGCTCAACATCTATTGCAATCGCTAGCCAGATTAGAGCAGACGATTCTCAACATATTGATAGCCTATGAAATATATCTTCGAACCTCCTCACTTCTGATTTTTGATTTCACTTGATGGGTACAATTCATAGCAGAAGGTATTACTGGTTAAAGAGTTGTCAAACTTCAAATATGTACCTTCTAAGCGATTAATTCAATGTTCAAATGGTTCAAATGGTTGTGGACGGAAATAGGAGAAGCTTTTGCTTAACGGGCTTCCATGTCTAGTAGCAGTGGATCACTAACACTAAACAGAAACTCGAAACATACCCATGTTAAAATTGAGTCACAAAGATTATCAATAGAGTCGGATAATGGTTGGTGGTGGAATTTTTGACAAGTCGGCTAGATATATTGACTCTCCGTTGCTAATGTTTAATGTCAATATTCTCATTACTTTTCACTTTGAATATCCAACATGTCATTCATTTATCTACTGAGTGGATAACACTTTCGGCATTTGAAGTAGGAAGTACTAGGTTCGAATACCAGGGTCTATTTACCTTCATCTGACGGGTCCTAAATAGAATGAAAAGCTTGTCCTAAACCTTACTATCAGCCATCAATAAGTTTGTTTTTTAAAGAACGTAAAGAGAAAGTGAGAGAAACAGCTAGAAGCACAAAGAACAACAAGCACAACTCTAGCGTATACAGTATAGAAAGGTCCTTGGGAAATGTCACAAAATATCATATTAAAAGATACAACGAACCAATGACATTTAAGATCCTTCCAAGTGGGAAATACAATCTGAAGGTAAAAATGGGCAACTCTGGCGAGAAAACAAGAAATTCAAATTTCCGACATATAAACGTACAAACATAAAACGTTTACTAAGTGATTTCTAGGGATCTAACATCTTCAACGATACTACTGTAACGGAAGGAATACACTTTTTACTTGTTTATGTATGAACTATCATCATTTTTGTGATGTAGTCCAGTATGTCTGTATGTAAACTCATGAATGATAAAGACTCTTCTACTATGTTTGTTGATTTATTCTCAAAACTGTAGAAAAAGGTGTGTGTCAGAAGAAATATTAAGAATTAAGATGATCTAGGTCTCAACTTAAAGTAAATCTTGCTAGTCGAATTGTATCTTTAGATAGAACATAGGAATTTAGACAATAGACGAAATCGTATATATGAGGTAGAGATATTCACTGGTATTCTGATTGAATACTCTTCTCTAGATATTGATTAGCGTTACATTGCTGGTAGGCGGCCTATGCTCCTCTACGAGGAGTACCAGGAGCCGGAATGTATGTACATTCAAAATATTAGCAATCTACCATCTTTTATGGATCATAATGAACAACCATATAGTTCGCTATGGACTGAAGAATATCATCAAGTGAGAACAGGAAAGAGTATGAAGATAAGTCTATTAATCATAAAAAAGTACTGACTAAAGATATGTAAAGTAATTTTGTAATGGCCATCTCCGTTTAAATTAGGTGTTGCAGATGTTTTATAAAGAAACTATCGAGCTTAAAGAGAATGGTACAAACAAAACCATCCTGCTAAGTTATAAATCTTCTTTATCAACTCAAAATCGTGTTAGTCCTTAGAAAGATAGTTAGGAAGCGATTTTATTCTCATATTGTAAGGGAAAACAGAAAGTGTATACACTGAGCCATGTCATCCACAGTCTCCCAATCATTGGTTACGATAGTGACCCATACGCCAACCAAATAGTCTGCAACTACCAACATGGCTCAGACTTGTTTCGACTCTTCACATTTTACAATTTCTGTGGATGTGAGCGTTTTTTTGCCTCCTTTGGAAAGTTATTCATATTCTACTTTTTCAGACTATTCAACTCATTTGAGAAACTGTTCGTCGTATATAGTATTGATTAAGGGGTTTCTAAGTAGTAGATATCTCATGAACATCAAAGAGATTTAATCTAGGGAAAGAACTTTCTGTTAACTGTTTTCATACCGTAAAACCTAAATTGGAATATAGTTATTTCATTAAAGTTGTGTTATAATCCATAAATATTTAATAAATGATGATATTTCCATTCAAATATCTGACAGTTCATAAGTACCCGGTTAAATTTTGACGCATTTTATCGTTTAACTACTCATAAGTAAACAATTTTGATTACCTAAAAATATCTGCAAAATTCAATTATTCTACTATCCATCACCCAAAAGAAATCATATTTCTGAAATTTTTATATCTTTAAATGTTAAGAGAAAGAAACGAGACGATATATACTACCTCCTATAAGTTGTTGCAACATATGATATGCTAAAAAATATGTATTTCAGCGTGGGTGTGGTGGCGTGAGCCTGTAATCTAACTACTTGGAGGCCAGGGTGCGGGGACCGGGTGTTTGGCATATGGGTGCTCATGTTGATCGGGCGTCCACGTTAAGCACGGCGGCGATATGGATGACCTGTCGGAGGGTGGGTTGTCCAGGTCATCTAAAGAGGGGCGAACCAGCCCAGGGGGGAGACCCGGCAGGCAAAAGTCCCCGCGTGATGCGGTAGCATAAAAGCCTCCAAATGCCCTGGTATGGCCGAGAGTTGAAAGATTCTACGCTCCCTCTCGAAATTCGCCCACATGGCCACGCGTATATAGCCTCTGCCAGGGAAGTCCTACTCACTGCCTTCTTGCACCACGGGTGTTGTTTACGAAAATGAGAGGACGAAAAGCGAATGTCCGGCGCTTTAACCGGATTCCAAACCAATGGTGCACATGGGCTACAGTATCCTGAAGGAGTAAATGGCTTATGAACCAATTGTTGGTCACCGGCTTCCATGGGACTGCATCTCCTTACGATGCTCCACTGCTTTGTGTACCAGACCTTCAGATCGAAGGCTCCGGGTATGACCCCCTAAGAACACCAACTACTTCGGTTTGGACACCCGGGCAGTATCACAGCCCTCACACATATCGAATGAGATTTATGTGGCGTATATGTATTTGGTGCCTCTTTGTACCAATATTTATGTGTTAAAATAAAAATAAAATAGTAAATATGGGTATTTTCATTCTGAATATCTTATTTTCAGAATTATGTGAGATCGAATTTTGGACAAATGTACCGTATTTCTTGTCTGTATGATTACTGAAAATTGCTACATTGAAGCTCTGTGAAATATTTGTTATTTATAAGTATGGCGGACGTTGGATTCTTTATCAAAAAGCCCCGAATAATCTTTCTTCGAGTATGATAGTATGTTAAACTTGATTGTTTAATGGTTAGTCCTTTCTTGATATCCAGATGATGAGTCCCAAACAGGACAAAACGCACGTCCTGCATTTAATTGTTAGCCATTATCTATCTTTATTTATAATGCTTGTGAATTAAGACAATATCTAAGCAATACGTACAATATGTATATATGCCAATAAGAGACTGATCAATCGTAGTCCTAAACCTCAGTGGGAACATTCAAGTAAGATCCATTAATGATTGAAGTCATGAAAATGAAAGTAACAAAATGATGCAAAACTGATTAATAATAAAGGTGATTTATTTTAACAATGTGCACTACAAGCTTTAAATCTTCAAACCATTAAGTTATGAATGCGTATTACAGAGAAATCTAATACTCAAATAGAACAGACCTTCAGTGGAACATAAGTTTCAAAACTTGTTTAACTAAGATAGGCTAGTGATATAAAACAATATAAAGCAACTTGTCAATATCGGGTTGTGGTGAGTGTTGATGTTATGATTGAGATCATGATTAGATCAATGTTAAACCACCATTGAAAACTTAGAAGTACTAGATAGCCATTTCGTCCTAGTACAGCACTCACTAACAGTACACATCCACAATCTCACACTAAAGGAACTCACGAACATAGGACCTTCGAACTCGAACACACAAACACTTAACCTTTAGATCACTAAGCCTGTATCCAATGATATTAATCACTAACTTCAATCCATCCAAAATGTTACGTAACTATCAAATTTCTTATTATTAATAAACTGATCAATAAATTAAAATAATTAAGGCCAAGGTAACGATAACGACTGGACGTACTTCTTTTGTACGCATAGTTCTGGTTTACTCTTTTCGATGGTAAGAGCTTCGGCTATTTTTAAGAGCTGGATACGAAGAAATCTGGGTAGATTTGAACGAATCATATAACCAACCTTAAAATCAAATTGTGGATCTATAGAATGATTACAGTGGAGCAAGGTACATTGACCGTAGCCAGCGCTCGCTTTCAACTTGGCTACAGGAACATACCCCAGCTTGGTTCTATAAGGATGAAAGGAAAGCAGTAAGGAGTTCTATGCTTGAACATCTCATCGACTGTAATCATTCTACTGATTCACAAATTGATTTTAAGATTATTTATATGATTCGATCAATAAATATAAATCGATAATGAACAATTTTCAATCAACCACATAAATTTCTTTTAAAAGGTTGAATTGAATTGATCCATTTATATGATGATTAGTACAACTTGATCTTCAAACTGAGGTCATTTATTAATCAATAATGATCATTTTGTATTAATCAGAAATAGAATGACTTTAGAACATTGAAGTAGATTCGATTGGAATGTGATGTGATGTGATGCGAATGTTACATAATAATGATTTCATATCAACTTTCTTGACTTTATGAGAGAGTAGTTGACAATGGGAATAAGAGAATAGGATGGGAACTTCTTCGACACTATAGTGTAATTACAAAGTGATGCATAGAAAATAGCTGACAAAAAATGCATTCTAAGTGAGAATGAAAATGAGATAAGACTGTCTATTCTCACACTTTCTCTTTGTTCTAGTGGTTAACTGGACTATGAATACTTTGACATTTCATGAGAAGCACGAAATACAATGGATAGGCTTGATGCAGCTAGACGATTTGGAGTTCATAGATGACATGACCCTACTATCCCATACACATGAACTAATGTAAACTGACACAACTAGTGTAGCAGCAAGTTCTACATCAATAGGCCTCAACATACACAATGGAAAAGGCAAGATCCTCAAGTTCAACATAGAAAACACCAATCCAATCACACTTGATGGCGAAACTCTGGAAGGTGTGAAATTTTCCACGCATCTTGTCAGTATCATCGATGAACATGAATGATCTGATACTGACGTCAATGTAAGGATTGACAAGCCAAGGACAGCATTCCTACAGTTAAGGAAAATATAGAACTGAAAACAACTATCTGTCAACCAATACCAAAGTCACAATCCTCAATACGAACGTCAAGACAGTTCCACTGTACGCAACTGAAACTTCGAGAACTACTACTACAATCATCATCAAAATGGTACAAATATTTATAAAAAACTGTCTACACAAGATACTCAGTGTCCGTTGGTCGGATACCATCAGCAACAACATACAGTGGGAGAGAATAAACCAAATTCCAACTGAATAGGAAATTAGGAAAAAACGTTAGAAGTGGATAGGGTATACATGACGGAAATGATCAAACTGCATTACGTGACAAGCACTAACTTTGAATCCTGATGGCAAACAGAAAGAAGGAAAATCAGAGTATACCCTACGTTGAGAATTGGAAGCAGATATGAAAAGGATGAATAGCAATTGGAAAGAATTGCTTGGGACAGAGTTCAATAGAGTGCTGGTGTTAGGCCTATACTCCTCCATGAAGTATAAAAGGCATAAGTTTAATTGTACAATGTATCATATCTTAATATTCAATCGAAATGTACGTCCATACAGTTAACGAGTCGTAAATAGGATGGAACACGTGTCTTCGACGTCAATGTTAATCATTATCCAACTTTGTTTAAGCAAATAATATTTATTACTATTCAGTGATCAGTGATGATGTTGGAACTCAATCACACTCTACTAGTAGCATTCTAAACAAGTAATATCAGTCCCCTTGGAACTACATATTCACTAGACAGACTAAATATTATTCAGATGCCTTGATTTATCAATCAAAGAATGTGGTTATACTGAAGTTTCAATAAATGTTCCAATACTGGAATAGAGGCAATGAAATTATTGACAACATCTGATTCATAGCTATTATTACTGAATTCTTTGGATCGATTGGTTAGTTTCAAGAGGGAATCTCTGGAACCATGACTAGTGCAGAAAGGTACCCACTAAAGACAATGAAAGATGACCACACAGTGTTGTGGATTAGCTGAAGTTATATCTATGCATCATTGAGTGTCATTTCAATGGTGTAAACAGAGAGAGGGAGAGAGAGCACTTGCGTACTAGACTTAATATCGTTACTTCAATTCCCAGTTGTTACAGAATCATGGATATACACTACTGAAGAGTTTTATCCTGGAATGAAACAGCTCTTCACAATTTCCATGTTTTCTATGATTGTCTCACTTAAATCACTTCATGATTATTATTGTTATTACAGATCTAGTTTATCATTTACAAGTGATCCCATTTAGTTACATTATAATCTCATCTTATTATTCAATCGTAGGTGTACAGGTGACCATGAAGTCATTTTAATCATTAGAAAAGAAGAAAGAGAAGAAGAAAGAGAAAAAGAAAGAGAAAAAGAAAGAGAAGAAGAAAGAGAAGAAGAAGAAGAAGAAAGAGAAGAGGAAAGGGAAGAAGAAAGAGAAGAAGAAAGAGAAGAAGAAAGAGAAGAAGAAAGAGAAGAAGAAAACGAACGAAAGAAGATCAAATTGAGAAAACGAAAAATGTTTAAAATTCTATCCATCTATCATAATTTAAAATGAAATTGTATCCAACTATAGGATCTTATGAATTACATTACATGACATGACAACAACAATAATGATAGTTACTATGGTATTTTATTTAACTTTGTACAATAGTCATGTTATGTGTATAATTAGTTTCAAATGATAAGTGAATAATTTATTTAATGAATAATAAAATCTTTTTACAAAGGGGGGAGGGTCTTGTGGAAATTGTTATATAGATATATAATAAAACTCTTGTGGGTTAGGGTAATGCTATGTTTGAAGCGGTTACCAGTTCACTTAATCTGCGAACGAGAAAAAAGACTCGGTGACCAAAGATCAATAAGCTAGTTATTCAATGTGTCTTAGCCCAGCTAACTGGCGGAAGAAGTCGATGCTTGAAATGGGGAGGTATATTCCGCAGAATCCAGAAGCACGAGCGATAACAAAGGACACAAATCAAAACGTATATATACAGCACAAAACCGTCTTTGGGAAGAGTTACAAAATAGCATACTAAAAGATAAAACGGACCAATAGCATTTAAGATTCTCCCAAGTGGGAAATACGACATGAAGGTGACAAGAGCGCTTTTGGCGCGAATATCCTCTACTCTTATCGGCCATGTTTCACTGCCATAAAGTAAAATGGAACGAACTGCTGTGTAGTAAACACGTTCTTTGGTTGATAGACGGATAAATGACGCGAGTTGGCAAAAGCTAGTCGAGCCTTTAGCATCCGTGCTGAGATTTCATCACACCCCAGACCATAAGGGTTGATGAGACTTCCAAGATAAATGAAGCGGTCGACACGCTCAACTACTTCACTCCTTATGATTAGTTCGGATGTCGTTGCAACCCAATCCCAAACGAACATTTTACATTTCGAGGGAGAGAATCGCATGTTGAACATGCTTGGATTGTTGCTTAGAGTGATCAGAAGACTCTGTATTTTGTCAGGGAATATTGTAGGATATCAAAATAGTAACTTAAAGAATTATAAAAAGCCTACGTCAGAATCATACACTCAAGTACTTGCCATGATAATATTGCCCACATTTTATCGCATCATTCCCCATCCAATTCATGATACTATTTACTCCTATGTATCTATATATGTTTGCTACTTTATTATTCAGTCAACTATAATTTTAGTTACCATATTGATATCTGAAAACTTCATTGTATCGATTTGTCATACTTTTTCTTTTCAATCTTCACTATGACAATATACATTTGCATTTAATCGATTTCGTCGAAACAACCATGTATCTCCTCTAAGGAACCATTCTACTTTCTTCTCAGTGACATTAATAATAACAAGTTCATTAACCTTATTCGTTATGTAAAACACATATATATATATATATATAGATAGATTACTATTACAATGTAGACCGATTTGAGTAGTTTAATCAAGTGAGTTCAGAAGATTTGATGGATTCAAAGATTATTTTTACTACAGATTATCTTCTAAGCAAAGATTAATAGTGGTTAGTATTGGAAACTAAGATGCATATTTCGTCCTAATTGAGACTCCTCAATTAGGATGTACTTATATCTCAGAGTTGATGTTCACTTTGAGACTCGAACCCAGCGCCGTTCTCTTCAAACGCCATCATATTATCCACTTAGCCAATGAGTCCTGATAATCGCTTACTTATGCAATGGAGTGAAGTTTAAATTCACTTAGTATTGTTTACTTAAATCTTTCCATTGATGTTTAGGACTGCAATTGATCAATCTCTTCTAATCAATAAATTCTGATCAACTATCCAAGTCAATAACAAACGTAGTTATATATAACCTACTGATTGACTTCATGAGGTAGATATTCCAAAACTCTTTTGAGAATCAACATGGAAAGTCGAACAGTTATTAGCCAACCGAATTGGTTAATCTCGCTATCTACTAATTAGAATGAACTTGAAAGTTATGAATGTAAATCATTAATTTTTACATTGCTGACTAACCGTTAAAGACTGGAAAGTACTGTATTATAGCTGCTTCATTTTAGAATATAACATCTTAGTCTCAAGATCTTGATTTCATGCCACAATAAGAATACAAATACATTCAGTTATGGATATCCCATACAAGAATGAAGCAATTATAAAGTGTTTCTAGAATCCTAATGATGATCTAACTGTAAACCATTCAAAATCAATCAATCAATCAATCAATCAACTGAAAGATCAAGTTACTCAATAACTTACCTCCACAGTCCTCCGCTCGATAACCATGAATGAAAACCACAATAAATATAATGAAGATTCTTGATATTCTCATGTTATTCAATGAAATCGAAGAGAATTATAAACAGTAGATGATCAAAAACGAAAGAACGATTCAATGTATCAATAAGACTAATCATTTATGTTTGATCATTTTATAACCGTAATTCATAAATGGTATGCATTTCATTGTCTTGATACAATTGTCCAATCAGATGTGAGAAGTAACAAGGTCGTTCAGCTCATATACGATTGGTTATTTATGAAGAATGGTTCTTTTTATGGTTGAGATCATGAATTAATTGATGTTAGACCATTGTTGGAAACCTGGAAGCACTGGACGGCCGTTTCGTCCTAGTATGGGACTCCTCAGCAGTGCGCATCCACGATCCCGTGCCCCGTGGGGTTCGAACCCAGGACCTACTGGCTTCGCGCCTGAGCACTTAACCATTAGACCGGCATCCAACGGTGTTAGTGTCTAACATCAACCAATCCACGAAATTGCGCGATCACCTTCCATTGTTGTTGTTGAGGCTATGATTATTCTTTAAGTTATGAATCGTTTAATTAAGAAGCTTCCATTATCTCTCTGGATATATTTCAATAAGAATTAAGTTGATAGAACTATATCATAACTAACTAACTGGTTGTTGATTATTGTCCATTGGTATGTGTGACTTTTGTTGGTAATTGAAACAGAATCATGTGAATTCATTAGTGTTATAATTTGTTGTTTAAATGCTTATTGTTTTTTTGGCTCTTTTAATGCCACCTTTTAATATCTGGTCGTCGTTGTTTGTTATGTCGGAAACGCTTATCACTTATACTTGGAACGAGGGTCTTCTGCAATTTCAACGACACGAAAAGTAAGAACACAGAGACTGGTATATGTGATGATGTAGTGTCAGTTATTATGCCAAGCCCATATACCTTATTCTAGCTTTGGGACATCCCTTCTACTCGAGCCATACTTTGACCTTGTTATTTATTCGCTTATCAATCTAGACTGCTTTTATATGAGCGTATGTGTGTGTGCCCTTCTTATCCTATTAATCACATGTATGTAGCTTTATTTTGTCTGACTATAAATATTGAGTAATGCCTGGCTTGAAATGGAGTTGGCTTCCCAGCCATCTTCCCTGTGTGTCATTTTGCTTTGCTCTGTTTCAATCGCTTCATATACAAAATATATGTATTCACAAATCAATTCACGTTATTCGACTTATTTAATTCCGTTATTGACTAACGCGATTTAAGTCGACGATGATATACGAGAATAAGCGACAGCAAACATCCATACGATCTAAATAGGAGTCAGATCCACGGGTCACTAAGATGGTGAGCCCTTCAACGAACATCGTCTGATCAGAATGACGGTAAATAAAAGGTACCCACAAAAATGGTCAGCCTTTCAACGAATATCGTCGATCTAAATGAGGGCAAAATCAAACTACGGGCCTCCACAATGATTTATTAACCCCCCCAAAAAAACGTCGACAACGACGGCGGCGACTCTAGTCGAAAATACACTCATTTATATATTGATTGTATACCCATTTTGATTAATAATTCGGATGAACTCACAGACTGAGCATACTTCATGTCAATGGAATAAAAGAATATCTGTCATATTATACAGAATAAAATATCATATAACAAAAGAAAGCAAATACTTCACTGAATGATCATCACATTGAATGAGAACGGAATTAATCTTGAACCAAAACTCATAATGAGTAAATCAAATCGAAAAATTGACTTTTCTTTCTATCATATCAATTAGGTTTCATGACTTTTCATTAACTTTTAACAAACACTGACATGTATTAAAGTGTGATATTAAGAGATGAATCAATCGATATTGATGATCGAAGAAATTGGTATAACAAGAACTGTGTAAGAATAAGTTTTAGATTATTTGAAGATGGAATTCAACAACATAGAAGGAAGAGAAGGAGGAGGAGGATAAGTCAGAAATTAAATGAAGTCCAGAAACAAATAAGATGAATTCTGTGATAATTATAAAATTTGTAAATGGTGAAGAAGATTTGTAGCTCAGATGGATAATTTTGATGCAGTTTTGTTCCGTGAACTGAATCGTTTGGTTGTGGACATTTCATCGTTCTTCTGAACGACATCATCAGCATAAACTTCAAATAGAAGTGGAGTTTTCGAATTTATCCATATGCGTGTCACAGCTTGTTCTGTACCAATGAACGTCGAGGTGTACAGGATAACCTGTGAACCACATATGGGGAAATTCGAACATTTCACTTCTATCTAAAGTTTGTACTGATGATATCGTTCAGAAGAACGATGACATCTCCACAACCAAATCATCCAGTTCATCCACCTGAACTACAAATCTTCTCTATCAGCATTAAAATATCTAAGAATACAAACAAGTAGATCTAATACAGAATCATCTTGATACATCGGAATGTTTTGTTTCACTTTCACTATTTAAACTTATGTTCATTTGTCAGTTATTCATCACAATTAAATCGTATACGTAGTTACAAAATAAACTCCGCCTGGAGTCCCTCCGAGGGCTACTGCCGGTCCCTAGCACGGATAAAGGAGGAAGGTTGAGCATAAGGGTAAGCGTCCCCATCCCTTCGAAAACTAACTCGTTAAAAAAAGCGCTAACCAGAAAGATAAGTTACAAAATAGTAAACAAATATTATAAATGAATAGGAAGTAAACAAGTGTATTAATTGTAGTGATGAGATCTAGTCAATAGTTCAAAATAGAAAGTTATGTGAAACATAAATCATTAGATACTCATATTAGTTGCCAGGTGAAAATATCGGTAATTAAAATAAACTGACTTGTATGACCTTGTTTCTGTGTTAAAATTAATGACACATCAACTAGTATTAGAAGTCTTACATGAACTCTGAATTCTTATTGTTTCTTAATATAGTAGCTTCTTAATCAGAATCTGATGTTCAGTTCAGAGAACACTATCAGATTCTATGGTATGAATTGTATATTTCACATATTATACATAGTTTATATGTGAGTTGATCGGATTGCTTCACACCATAACATAATTTAAAACAAATATCAGTTATTCAGGATCAAGTCGAAAATGATGAGATCGAACCCGAATATGAAACGATTTTATTTACTATATGACGACGATAAGCTAGATGTATCAAGTTAGAGATGTGTATTGTCTTTTTCTACCTTCTCTCCAGTTTAAACTGGAAAACAATTATTCATTCGTTGGATAAGTTCCCTGGTAGGATATACAATATAGCTGTCTCTACAGAAGCAGTTGAATTTCCATTGCTAATCTATTATGCAGGATAATACAAACCACATCCTCTTTAAATGGTAGTTTTAAGAAAAGAGCATTTCATACGAATGATTAATATCTCCAACATATTTTTCTTCACATGGATGTACATCTCAGATAACTCTTCTCCATTAGTATGTTATGTACAAACTCCAACTCCTTCACTATGATTTTATCTGAACAGATTGTGTTCGTTCTACTCATGAGTAGTAGTTGAACCAGATTTTTTCTGTAGCTGATGATTGTTAAATTACAGAAGTTTGTATGTTGGCAAGCAAAGGAATGCTTTTTTATACATGATTATGTTTAACAAGATGTCATTCTATCAATGTAATAAGAGGTCAAGGGTATTTAGCTTATCCTCCATCAAAAGTTGTAAATACTTTACATTAGATTCAAATCACTGTAAGAAAAATGATTTGCTTTTTTATCGTTTCTTTCAATCTTGTTTAGGATTGAACATTGATCAGCCTCTTATTAGCCTATGTGCACTCGGTTCGGGTTATTTCCAAATTTTTCTTAAGTGATAAGCATTGTAAGCGGAGATAGAAGATGGCTAGCAATGGATTAAGATCATGAACCGATTGATGTTAGACCATTATTGAAAACTCAGGATCTTCGGTCTCGCGGGCGAACACTTAACCTACTGAACCACTGAGCCAGCCAATATCCAGTAGTGTTAATATCTAACCTCAACTAATCCACCAAGATGCGCGACCATCTTCCATTGTACTGAGGTAGATATCTATATCTAACCGACATGGATTAGCCCTACTGGTGACCACTTCTCAGTAGAATTCGTAGAATTCCCTCACGAAGCTAGTCCCTAGTGAGCATATGGTAATTATCAGTATGAGGTTGTGGAGATTTTTAGGTTTTTGATTAAGATTGAGGTTAGGCGTTCGCCCGCGAGACCGAAGATCCTGAGTTTTCAATAATGGTCTAACATCAATCGGTTCATGATCTTAATCCATTGCTAGCCATCTTCTATCTCCGCTTACAATGCTTATCACTTAAGAAAAATTTGGAAATAACCCGAACCGAGTGCACATAGGCTAATAAGAGGCTGATCAATGTTCAATCCTAAACAAGATTGAAAGAAACGATAAAAAAGCAAATCATTTTTCTTACAGTGATTTGAATCTAATGTAAAGTATTTACAACTTTTGATGGAGGATAAGCTAAATACCCTTGACCTCTTATTACATTGATAGAATGACATCTTGTTAAACATAATCATGTATAAAAAAGCATTCCTTTGCTTGCCAACATACAAACTTCTGTAATTTAACAATCATCAGCTACAGAAAAAATCTGGTTCAACTACTACTCATGAGTAGAACGAACACAATCTGTTCAGATAAAATCATAGTGAAGGAGTTGGAGTTTGTACATAACATACTAATGGAGAAGAGTTATCTGAGATGTACATCCATGTGAAGAAAAATATGTTGGAGATATTAATCATTCGTATGAAATGCTCTTTTCTTAAAACTACCATTTAAAGAGGATGTGGTTTGTATTATCCTGCATAATAGATTAGCAATGGAAATTCAACTGCTTCTGTAGAGACAGCTATATTGTATATCCTACCAGGGAACTTATCCAACGAATGAATAATTGTTTTCCAGCTTAAACTAGAAAAGAGGTAGCAAATTGACAATACACATCTCTAACTTGTTACATCTAGCTTATCGTCGTCATATAGTAAATAAAATCGTTTCATATTCGGGTTCGATCTCATCATTTTTGACTTGATCCTGAATAACTG